GTTAGTTGTTAAATAGTCATAAAAGAAGCGTTACTATTTTGTTTTGACATCGTTTGTTTTCTGTTGAGGTTATGTCACTTTTATGATTTTTTTTGCCCTTCTAGTCTTTACTTTGTTTTACTGTTGAGGTTATGTCACTTTTATGAAATATTTGTTGTTTATTTTTCTTTATTCTAGGGTTAAAATTTATATTAATGGAATTTATAAACAAAATGTCACAAAAGAAGCGTGACTTTTTTTGACATCATTTGTTTTCTGTTGAATTTATGTCAATTTTCACGACTTTCAAATTAGTAAGAACCTTCCAAACTTTTATTGAGTTAACAAATTTCTTTGTTTATTTATACGTTTTGATCTATAATTGTACGTTTAGAAATCGTCGAACCTACGCGAAACGTAAACTCTTGACCTACAAATAAAATTCAACGTGTAAACATATCTACATTACATAAATCTTTCATCAATTCAATGTCTGCTTTACCAATGTTTTATAATTAAAAAAAAACTATATTTCGAATTCATTCATTCCTAATTTTAAGGCTAATTCACCTTTCAATTTTATCTTTTAAACATTTGAAGCCATTTTTTTGAGCAATAAATTGATATAACACATATTTTTATAAATTTTTTATACATAAAATGGATACTTCTAAAAGTGGTAATAATAATTATAATAACTTAATAAATTATCACAATTATTTTCTATTTTGAAAATTGTTCAACCTACGCAAAAACGTGTTTTCTTTTGAGCTACAAAATAAAATCATCATAAATATAACAGTATTATTTAAATTGTCTTTAATTTCCATTTCTGGTACGCCAATTAATACCGAGTGGAATAATTTGGAGAGATGAACTTGGAGATTAGATCATGGCGAGATTCACTGGAAATTGTTGTTCGTAAATTCGTCTGTGACTGCATAACAATGTTTCGAATGGAAAAGTTTTCATTTACATTTAACATTTTATTTAAGAAATGTGATGTCAACATAAATTTATAAAAATAATTTATACGAACTTGAAAATTAAATTTTAATGTTGCATAATATTGTTTATATTTTTGATGATGAAATTTCGAACATTAATTACAACACGTGCGTTAAAAATTATAATATTCCAAGCTTTGTCATGTAACTTGAAATACACATAATTTCAATGTAATTTAGAATAATTCTATAATTAAGTTATGTAATTGAAAACAAAAATATTTACAGCAAATTGTCAAATTTAAAAATGGAAATGAAAAATTTTAATTTCATATTTTTGTTTTAAATGAATTTAAGAATTTTGTTTCGTATTAATAAAATTTAAAGTAATATAAGTAAAAATTTGCAAATAAAAAAAAAATAATAATTAATTAGAGAAATGGAAACAATAAGAAAATATTGAATCTCCGTTTATATAAACACATCTTAAGTTAAGTTTTTAAGCTGACTTTGATGCAAAAATATAATTGCAATCTTCGCAGATTTCGTCGAATTGTTTTGCTGATGCCTTGAATTGACTTGCATTTTTTTTTCGTTCGTTAATTGACATTCGTTGCACTCCGAAACAAAGGAAGAAAAAAGTTTCCATTAGCGATTTGTGTTTAAATGTTTGTTTTTTCTCTAATGACAGCAAATTAATACTTCATAATTGATAGGAAAGTTTGGTTATTTACACAACGTTTCAATTAAATTCTGTTATAACGATGAAAAGTTAATAGCAAATTTGGTTATAACGACGAAATGTCAATATCAAACTTGGTTATAAATATATAACCTTAAAATTAAAATTACTTTAAAAATGAATCAAATTTATTTATGACGTTCATTAGAAATAATTGACAGTTTTGACGTTACATCATAATTGCAACTGTTTCTTGTTTCTGTTGTTTAACTGATGTCTTGGACACTTAAATTGACATTCGTCGCACTCCAAAAATAGTAAAAAAAAAGTTTCCATTGGCGATTTGTGTTTTTATGTAATGATAGCAAATTAATACTTCATAATTGACAGGAAAGTTTGGTTATTTACACAACGTTTCATTCAATTTTGATTATATATTCAATTTATTTAACCTTAAATCAAACTTATAACGTTAATTAGAAATAATTGACAGTTTTCTTCCTCGCAGTTTACGTTAATCATCTCACCGAAAGTACGTATTTTCTTAATACACTATCATATTTACACAATCATCATCTTGAAAGCAAGATTAAGAAAACGTGTAAATAAATTTCAAGATTTCGGAAAGATTCACTTACGAAATTCATATTATTCCAGTACATTCTGCTAATTTCAATTTTAAAAAATCGTCATATCTCAGTCATTAAGTAACATTATGTAACAATTGTTATATAATCAAAAGATGCGTAATAGGAATTGGTTTTGAAAAGTCGATATGAAAAAATTGTGTTTTTTTTTTTTTTGAAAAAATGTGAAAAAATTTAAATTTTTCTCAATAATTGATTAGTATTACATAACAGTAGTTATACCAGAAGATGCATAATAAAAAACGTTTCTGATGTAAATATAAAATATGTATAAAATTTTGTACTTTTTCAGTTAAATTAAAAAAATAAAAAATAAATTCTGTTTTTGAAAAATTTCTAATATTTTTTAAATATTAGCAATAATTGACAGTTTTGACATTACATAACAATTGTGACTGTTTTTTTGTTCAATTTATTTAACCTTAAATCAAACATATGACGTTAATTAGAAATAATTGACAGTTTTGACGTTGCATAAGAATTGCAATTTTTCGTAACACGTTTACTTATTTAATTGTATCGATTTAAATACTAATTACGATTTCTATAAACTATGCAGATTATGTGTTTATAACGTAATGAATAAAAATGCGGCAGCGATTTCAAGGATAAAAAAGAGTATGTTTAATTATTTAACACGATCATTGTTTTCTTTCTCGCTAATTGCGTCCAGCCGGCTTGTTTCTCCCAGGAAAAACGGACTTTCACTCGACGCATTTGATTGAAATCGCTTTTGGAAAAGCAACGCGGAAACGGCGCTTCTTTCAAATGAATGAAGCTACCTTACACTATACCAGTTTTGCGAAATGATAGAATTTGAATTTCGCGCCAGAGAATGACACGTGGCTGGCTGACAGGTGTCAACTGTTTGGAATACGGTAAACAATGCGTCTTTGGCAATGCGACCGTGAGACGCAAAAACTTTGACTTTTCAATTTATGTCCTTCTCTTTCTTACTTGCGTTTTCTTGTTTGTTTTTTTTTGGTCGTTTCGTCTGGAAAATGCTCGATTATATAAATAACGTTTATGCGAATCGCAATTCAAAAATCCGCGCATTACACGTTTCGTACGTGCAGACACAGACTAAAGTTTGCTAAAAATAAACGAGAGCTAAAATTCCTATTAGGAAAAGCGACAGAAAATCTTTTGGAAAATCAAAAATTGTAGTGTAAATGGAAATTATAAATTGTCCCAAACTGAAATTACTGAAATTTTGAAGTCAAAACTTAAAGTGATGTTTTTGTGTATTCATACTGACATTATTATTCATAATATTTATTGCAAAATTTCATAAATAATTACAGACAAAAACAATGTATTGCATCAAATTATATTTTTTTTTGTCAACATAAAATTTACGTCAGATTTGTGCAAGTTTTTATCATTTTATTATTATTAAAGCAAAAGGTGAATTGCATCATTTTTTTTTTGCAATTATTTAAATTATAAACATTGAAAATGCGATATAAACGTAATCTTATCTGTGACAAATACATACGTTTGGATGTGGTCAGACGAAGTGAATCAATTGCATCACGCGAGAGGAAACGAAAACATGTTGCATGTTTCCCTGATGTTTTCTGATGAAATATGTTGATTGTATTGGTAATCCATATTGTTTTCTTCCTCACAGTTTACGTTAATCATCTCACCTTTGACCGAAGATCCGAAAGTACGTACTTCTCTTAATACACTATCATCTTCACACAATCATAATCCTGAAAGCAAGATTAAGAAAACGTGTAAATGAATTTCAAGATTTCGAAAAGATTCACTTACGAAATTCGTATTATTCTAGTACATTCTGCTAATTCCAATTTTAAAAATCGTCATATCTCAGTCATTAAGTAACATTATGTAACAATTGTTATATTATCGAAAGTTGCGTAATAGAAAACTAAAAAAAAAAATATTTATTTTTTTAAATTATGAAAAATTTCAAAAAATTTCTCATTAATTAATTAATATTACATAACAGTAGTTATATCAGATGATGCATAATAAAAAAGCGTTTCTGATGTAAATATAAAATATGTATTACGTTTTGTAGTTTTTCAGTTAATATAAAAAAAATAAAAAATAAATTGTGTTTTCAAAAAATCTTTATTTGTTTTTTTTTTGTATTACATTTTTTTTTGTAATAAAAACTAAAATTAAAACTAATTAATAAAAGCATTTATAAAAAATCTGATGTCTAGTCTAAGTAAATGAAATAGGAAGACATTGCATTTTCAACTTTGACAGCTGATTACAGAAGAATGATAAATGTCACATACTTGAAAGTAGGTTCATTGAAAGGCCATAATTTTAGCTTTAATTTGCATATTCTATGTTGTAAGTGACAAATATAGTTATCAAATAATAAGATAAAATATGAAGACATGACAAAATTTGAAAAATGTCAAACATTAAATATCCTTACGCAATATTTTTTCTGATGTAAATATAAATTAATTAACAAAAGTTTTACAGTTATTATTGTATAAAATAATAAAAAATTGAAGTCTCGAAAAATTTGACAATAATTTAGAAAAATGACAAATCTGTAGGAATAACAATAGGAATATTTTTTAATTAATGAATACAACATTTCTAATTTTCCTAAAGTAAATGTTTCATCATGTTTCTTGAGCTGAACGACCGAAATACTAGTTGAATCAACGAAATATATACATCGATCGATCCATTCCTTTTGGATCCAATTTATTTATAGTTGTTCCAATGCTTCGATTGATTGATAGTGTAGATTCGTGTATGTAGGTATATAGAAGATGGTTTTTCGTATCGGGATTTTGGCTGAGGCTTTGGCAGAGCCTCAATAGTGTTTCTGTTTAAAAATAATCGGGGAGGTCAATGGTTTTCCCCGAGCTTAGACACATACATACTTACAAACTTACATAAAAACGACGATGCACACGGACAGAACTATTTCGGCCTGAGACACGGAAGTCGGAGACTCCCCTGCAATGGTACAACACTGGTGTCGGAGACCCCCGCGACTTCGCCGAAGGAGGAGAGAAGGATTCAATATCAAGCTTATTTTTAGAATGCGTTTTCTTCTACTCACCACATCGGCCAACACGCGCCACCTATTCTTAGACCCCATTCGAATCCGGGATGGTTTTTCGCTATTCCAAACGAAATTGTTATATTATACTAAAGAGAAATCGTCGTCGTGATGGGTGGTTTTTACATATTCTAAATTTAGATCAATTTATTTATTGAAGAATGTAAATTGGAAATTCCCGGAAAACTAACGAACACGCACGTATTTATTCGGTAGATTCGAAGATTAGTATATAATAAATATTCCAGAAAGTGTTTAAACTTTGATGTTGAACTGTTTTTTGTTTTAATGAACTTATTAATATGACCAGTATAAACATTTTTTGTCAATGACGTAAAACTCCAATTTTAATGACGTAAATGTCAATGACAACTGTCAAATATTTGTTTTGACATTTATATAATACAATGAGACATCTATGTATAAAAGTAAAATATTGTATTAGTATTAATAAATCTTTGTCAGTGACATTATTGGAAGTCAATCACTACTCAAATTTCATTGTAGGTTAAGTTGTCTCTCATATAATTGTCAATGACAACTATCAACCATTTGACATTAACGTTTATCTTTATCTACATTACAACCATTGACAATTCAATATTCCATTTAGTTCAATCTTTAAAAAAAAGTAGTGAAGTTCACTGAGAGACAACTTAATCTATAAAATAATTATAAAATTAGAGAATTTATCAGAAAATAGAATTAGAATTAATCCTAGGAATTAAGATAATATTGCCATTTTTTAAATAATTATGGACATATAAAATGACACATCTATATATAAATGAAGTACATAATTTGATAAATGTATAATGTATGACGTTTATTTTACTTCAATTTTTGCTAACTTTTATTCTATTGTAGGTTAAGTTGCTTCTCATAAGTTGTCATTGCATAAATGTCAATAGTATCAAAAAAATGACTTTGACATTTATGTGACGTTTATCATTACCTACTTTACAGCCATTGATAATTCAACATTTTCTTTAGTGAATTTACATATATTTAATCAGATGACAGAGAGAAAACTTAACCTATAATAAAATTAGATAATTAATCAGAAGATTGATTTACAATTAATTAATTATACTTGATTAACAATCAACTTTTTTTATCAATGATGTTTATGTCAAACTTTACTACTCCAATTTTATTTTAGGTTAAGCAGTCTCTCATAAGTTGTCATTGACGTCAAATGATTGATAATAGCAATGAAAACTATCAGACATTTGACATTGACGTTTATGTGACGTTTACGTACTTTTGACAACTATTGACAATTTAATTATCCCTTTAGTTCAATCACTCAGAAAATAGTGAAAATAAAATTATAGAATTTAACATAAAATAGAATTCAAATTAATTCTAGAAATATAATATTGGTATTTGAAAAAATAAAGAGATAAAAAATGAACACTTTTTTAACTACTTCAATTTTATTTTATGTAAAGCTGTCTCTCATAAGTTGTCATTGACGTCACATGACAGCTATTGACAATTAAATATTTCCATTATTTCATTCACTGAAAATAAAATTAGTGAATTTATCATAAAATAGAATTACAATGAATTAACTTTTAAATTTATTTTTATTTCATTAATTAAATCAATAATTAACAATTTGTAAAATCACTTTTATTTCGTTAATGAAACCTAACGATTCATTACTTTTTTTACTAATGTTATTCCTTACAACCTCATTCATAATCAATGTGTTAGGACAATGACCTTTCCATCTACATCCACACTTCTCTCAATAATTTTCCTGTTATTCACTGAATCTTTCACAGTTTAATATGAAATAATAATAATATTACTTTTTATTAACTCAAAATGTTGTTGTTTTTTTGCTGTATTTTATTTAAACCTTGAGTGCATTCGAACCATGAATCTATGATTGCATTGTTTTCCAAATACAATACGCTATTGACCTGCACTTGCATTTTTTCTATTTCTCCTCCATTAAAATGGATATCCATGAACACTTTCATTTATTTTTATTCAATTTATTCCTCAAACAAAGATATAAAAAAAAACGAATGCATTTCATTTATTTTATTATCAATCATTCATTTCAATATTCAATTGTTAGATTTGTAAGGCAAAATTTTCAATTGAATTTTTAACGCCACGTCATTATTAATAACATTTCTGTTATGCAATCAGACATATATAAAATAAGAAAAAAATAACATTTTTTTAAAAAATCTTTTTTTGTTATGTCATGTAACTATTAACAACATTTCAATGACTCATTATATAATACAAAATGCATTTAATGCATTTTCTATACGTTTTATATGAGCATTAAATAGTTTATTACTTTCCTTTTTACTTATTTTATTTTTTTTTCCTTTTATTCGAATCTTAAACTTTATTGATTTCAACGTCGCACGACGATTGTTTGTGCGACTTAAATATCGGCACGTAAATGAAGGAGTGCCGAGGTGGAATTGAATATGGATTACACGGATTGTATCCAACGATGTTGGAGAAAATAAGCAAAAAAAGGAACAGACACGAAGAAAGATACGAAGGAAACAGAAAAAATACGATCGTGATTTTTAAATAGATTCGCTCGCTCTTACATAATTTCTGAACACTCACAAAAGTTCACATTTCAACACTTGACCTGAACTCTGTATTACTTTAATACACAGATATAGCGATTTTTTTTACAATATTTTACAAAATATTTCATTTATTTTTTAAATTTTATAATGTAACATGAAAACTGTAAATATTTTAATATATTTTATTACTTCATAACAAACAGTATTAAATTGCGCATCTTTTGATATAAGCACCATTACCTAATGTTAATTAATGACTGAAATATTGCAATTTTTCAAATTTTGTTTAAGTGTTCACTTTTTATTTAATTATTCAATTACCACAAATTCGAATTATATCACTATATAAGTAAATTAAAGATAAAATTACGGCCTTTCCAATGAGCCTAGAACCAGATCTGAGAAACTTATGGTTTTCTTGTAATAAGCTGTAAAATTTTCAAATTTTTAAAAAAAATATAAAAAAAACTGCCTTCTATTACGCTTCTTTTGATATAACCGTTGATGCGTAATTTTTAATTAATGACTGAGATATGGCGATTTTTCGATCGTATTAAAAATATTCTAGTTTCCATAAAAAATTCTTAGAAATTAAACTCCATCTGCTTCCTGTTTAGAGCGCATCAATAATAACACGATTTTTTTTTACAATATTTTACAAAATATTTCTTTTTTTTTTGAAATTTTATAATATAACATGAAAACTGTAAATGTTTTAATATATTTTATTATTTCATAACAAACAGTATTAAATTGCGCATCTTTTGATATAAGCACTGTTACCTAATGTTAATTAATGACTGAGATATTGCAATTTTTCAAATTTTGTTTAAGTGTTCACTTTTTATTTAATTATTCAATTACCACAAATGCGAATTATATCACTATATAAGTAAATTAAAGATAAAATTACGGCCTTTCGAATGAGCCTAGAATCAGATCTGAGACACTTATGGTTTTCTTGCAATAAGCTGTCAAATTTTAAAATTTTTCAAAAATATAAAAAAAATATTATATTTTATGATTACATCAGAAGCTGCCTTCTATTACGCTTCTTTTGATATAACCATTGTTGCGTAATGTTAATTAATGACTGAGATATGGCGATTTTTCGAGCGGATTAAAAATATTCTAAAGTTTCCATAAAAAATTCTTAGAAATTAAACTCCATCTGTTTCCTGTTTAGAGCGCATCAATAATAATACGATCGCTTTTTTGATAGATCCCACCTGCCCTTAAACATCAAAAGAATGCGTTTCTAAGAACAAAATTCGAAGGAATATCTGCACACAAAACATTGACTTCTTGCAATTACTCTAGAAATTACAGAATCAGTTGAATACAGAGCGAGTACAAGTTTTTTTTGTTTATCGTTGCCTCGGGAGGAATGTAACGAACAAGACGAAAATAAAATGAAGAAGTAAGAAAGAAAGAAAAAAAATATGTATGCATGTGTAAATTGAGTTCCATTTTGAGAGGCACGTACGTCAAAAGAAGCATTTAATTAATGTTTATTTACGAAACCCGTTACTTAAACTAGTACAAATCTTGTTGGATGTCGCTCGTAATGGCCTTTATATAATCTATATAATGCGGGTAAACTGCGTTCTGTTCGGATCACGTTCACGCTTCTAATCGATGCATTATTTATTGTTATTATTATGTATGCATGACATTTCTTAAGATACAAACGTTGGGAATTCTTAAGCTCATTAATATTATGCCCTTCTTATTATAAACTCCGTGGTAAATAAATAACTGATCTATTAATATTTATGTAATGAACAATGGAGGAATTTTCTATTGTGTTTTGTAGTTGATGTTTTGAGATAAATTGATGAAATTCGTGGTTGATAATCAGGTTTAGATATAAAACCTCTTAACAATTTTAGATAGAATTCTGTTGGAAATAATGAAATTTCTAATCTCTAATTGATGTAAAATGTATGTTTTATATTTTATTTGACGTTTTGAGATAAATTAAACAAATTCGTGGTTGATCATTTTTTAACAAAATTGAAAGAAAACTTTGTAACAAATATTAATGCTAATATTATAACAACTTATGAAGTTTATAGACTTTAATTAATGAAAAAAATAGATTTTGTTCGTTTTTTGACGTTTTGAGATAATTGAAGAAAATCTTTGGTTGATAATCTGAGTTGACAGGAAACCTCCCAACAGTTACTAATACTAATATTATTGGAAATTATGAAGTTAATAGAGTTTAATTAATGAAATATGTAACTGATTTGACATTTTGATATAAATTGAAGGAATTTGTGGTTGACAATCAGATTCTAACAATTATTGATAATAATACTATTTGAGATTATGAAGTTACTAGTTATTTTAATTAATAAAAAAAATGTATGTTTTATGCAAGGCAATAGTAAATCAACACTTTAATCAATTAATTACATTTATTATCAACAATTAACGAAACAGAAAAAATGCTTAAATAGTAGAGCAATTAATTGAATAA